CTGAGCCGGGAGCCTGATGTGGGACTCGATCCCAGGACCCTGGGATCATGACCTGAGCCGAAGGCAGTCGCTTAACCAACTGAGCCACCCAGGCGCCCTGAAACAAACTTTCTATCCTCTATACTTAGCCTGACAAGTAGAGAAAAATAATCTCATCAAATCAGGGTGATTTGTCCCTTGATATAGGCCTGCTTGATATACTTGAGTATTTAGCATCATGTGCAAGTTAAAGGATAGTAATGACTATCCCACCATCATATATAGGAATGACAGGAGCTTACATCATCCTCACAACAATCCTGTGAGAAAGGAAGTGAAGCTGTATTTTTTTCAGCCTTATAAACAGAAAACCGAGATTAAATGATGCATGAGGGATACAACCAGCATTGAACTAGAACTCAGATCTAAAACTCCTACTGAGCAGTCTCCTTGTTCTACTGTACTATTTTCATTATTGTCCCTAAAGGAGTAGGGAGAACTTGTCACTTCATAACATGTTGGAATTTGAATGGTTTTCAAAGTGACAGTCATTTTAAGAAAAATGTATGAAAAAAAAAATGCTTTTAAGGGAGGCAGAATTTGATTTTCCTTACCAGGTTCCTGAAACTTCTTAACTGAAAGTGTAGGAATGTCTATACTAAAATTCTCTACTCTCCGAGAAGTAGGCTGGAGTACAATAATCTTCTGCAGAAACTTACACTCAGGGACAAAATCAAGGGATGCTCTACAGTGAGTCTATATAGGCTGGCTTGTGTTTTCTCTTAGACGATTCATGTTACCTTTTCGCAATGCAAGCTACTTATCGATTTCCTGATGCAAACTTGCAGCCTTGCAGTTGTAAGTGGAGAAACAACTCTATGGTTGAGCTGAGACTCTTCCCAGAGAGTATTGCACTTTCAGGGGGTTATCTACCAAATCTTCTCAAAACCTACATTTGTGTCACTACTGGGCTACTACTATCCAATTCTTCCAATGCATCTAATTCTTCAGTACAGTAATACCTTTCTATACCTCTAGATAGAGACACTTTAATAGGTTATTTACAATATGTACTTAGGGATCCCTTAGTTGCATTTTATAAAATTAAATATAACCATATATTCAAGGACATAATGGGCCTTCATATGGAGTCTTAAAATAAAGTTTACTTGACCCTGAAGACTCTGAGACACAATAATCAGTTTTTAATAACAATCATCCATCTTCTCCTTTCTGTGATGCTGTTAACGTGGAAGGAAAGTGGCTTTTTCAAAATTGAAATGTCATTTGATTTGGATGTCTAACATTTCTACTACTAACTTCGTAAAGTCATCGCTGAGCTTTGTAGAACCACAAACTGAATATTTTCAAGACATGATGGTACACCTTGAAGTAAATGCAGCGTCAGAACTTTAATTTTTGAAATGTGTCATATAAGGAATAATAATCTCCTGTAATGAACAAGATCATCCCAGTGATGCCAAATTTTAAAGAACTGACCAAATCTTTTATTGGTGCCATCAAAATACCAGTCTTTATGATCTCCACAATAAGTTCAATGAAGCCATGGTTCCATAATCTTGTGATGTGCCACCTCACTCAAATATTCAATAAAGATGGTCCAATAAAGATAAGTTTAGATCAGTGCTTCTCAGGCTTGACTAGGCATACAAGTCACATAGGGATCTTGTTAAAATGCAGATTCCTATTCAGGTGGTGCCTGAGGTTCGGATTTCTAAAAAGCCCCCGGATGGTGTAAATGGTGTGGGTTTGGACAATATGCTACACAGAGCAGCAGCCTAGGCCTCTTCTGGGTCACAGATGTTCCATAGTCCAGGGGTTTGGCAATTTCCCTTCTACACGGTATTGCTCATTTTGATAGGGAAGTGAAATGCCGAATGACAGTCATTTCTGCACATTCTGTTTGTACCTTGTTTAGGTTTATCTCGCATCGGGGTCATGTAACCTTCTTCGTCCAGCTCTCCTCGTGGGCTCCGTTCCGGGGCAAACACGGTGGGGTCAGCGCTGTACCTCTGGGTACTGCTCTCCTCCTGGACGTGGGGTGCCACTGGCTTGCGTAGGGTGCCGTTACAACAGGAGTCATCAAAAATCTCGGCTGTGGCCCCCTGAGCAACTGGAGCTTCTGGGATCGTGCTGGTCGTGGCTCTGTAGGGCACAGGCACTCCTTGCTCTGTAGTTAGACCCCCATCTCGGTATACAAACTGGTTCTGTCAACAGAGAGACACATTTAGACACAATAAGTTATTATTAGGAATAGCCTTAAAAAAATAACCAAAAGGATGTGCAAACTTGTCTTTCAGACAAAAGTCTGAAAAGTTTTCCCCCTGAATGGCTGACAAGTTTGAGTTACAACCCCCTAAAATTCCAATTTTTCTTACAAAGTGATCCTGGGGAAAGAATTTGGAAATACCTATTTAAATTTTACTGACCACCTAACATATAACCTAATACAAAATATTTCATGTCATTTTCCCACAGTCGCCCATTTTTGATATACAATTCAAATTTCATGACAAATGGAAATGTTATTAACTGTAGACAGTCGACATTAAGAACAGAAGCACAGTAATGCCATTTGGTTGGTGATATTTCCTTACTGCCTTCTCTTCTGTGGTCACTCTGACTTTGAGTCTCTAAGTACCTAACTAGGGAATCATTACTGAGACTCTGACTTTTTAGCACACAACCTATAATCATGGAAATAATGATAACCTCCTCAAACAGAAGCATAATTTATGAGTCCAGGTAAATCCTTCAGGTAAAAATCAAAAGCTACTGTTGGTGCATGGCATCTCAGTTTTGGATTATCTGCTGAAGTAAAACACATCCACAAAGCCAGCTATACAATCTACAGCAAAGTCTTAACTCACTGTTGGCAAAAGCAAAATGAGGAAACTATGGGGAGACAAGAGAGAAGAAACATGATAAGCAAAGGCCAAAAATATGAAAAGATGAAGGTTGATCATGAAATACTTACTCCTGACATGGGGGTGTAGGCAGGAGGTGGGCTGTGTCCAATTTCACTCTAATAGGAAAGAAAAATGGAATGATGGATATAATAAGAGGTAATATGAATGAAAAGGAAAAAAAAAAAAGGAAAAGAAAAGCCACATGAATTGTATGAACCTAAGGGGAAAACATGCACAACAGTGAAGTTTGCTAAATGGTAAAATTTTATGCACTCTGACTATAAATAAGTTTATTTTTGTGTTTTGAGAATATTAAATATTGTATGAAATATTTTAGTTCAATCCCTGAAAAGAAAAATTACGTAGAAAAAGTAAAATTTTAAATGGATTAAAAATGAAGTTGACAATGACTATTTTTCTCGTTAACCCTGGGAGAAAGATAAAAATGGTAAATAATTAACTATAGTTTTAAATAAAGAACCATTTCCTTCCTTACAGGTTGTATGGCTGAAATGGCCATATACCACAGCATTGGTTCTCTCTTGTAAAAAGAAACTTATCTAGAAGGAGATAGAAGTGAATTTCAATTTTCCTTGAATAATTTTTACTACCAGGTTACATTTATTTTTCACTATTTCAGCAAAGGGTCAATTTCTTAGCCTTTCCTTTTAAAAAATACATACTGTTTTCTCCTCAGTCTGATTTTTTGTAAGTTAAGAAACAGAAGAAAATCTTGGAAAATTAATTCCAGTCCTGGAAATATGCTTTGCATATATTACTGTCATGTATTTAGAATCAGTTAAAATTAGATTTCAGTTAAAAAAAAAAAAGGCATCCGTATTCTTATAGCTTAATACTCCATCCTATGAGCTAAATAAAAGTGGATATAAAAATATGATAAAATATTAAGGACAATATACTTAGAGTAAGTAGAGGGGGTTATATGAGTATCAACACCATTTCTTAATAATATATGTATTTTAAATATATTTCTTGAGAACTTACTATCTATGTGCCAGACACTTTTCTGGACACTGGAGATAATGAATAATGCAGATAAAAACAGTTGATTTTATGAAGCTTGCATTCTCTGCACACATGTATGAAACTTGGCTAAGTATTATTCCAGGCCAGTGTTTTTACAATTTAGAGATTCATAAAACAAACTCTAAGAAGAATATGGTTCCATGGATATTAACTGTTTAATGTAAATTAATAGCAACCAGATAACACAATTTCCCATAATTAACTTAGTCTCCTGGGACTAATAACCCTGGGGCCAAGTTCTGAACTCCTACATTAGGTTTACATTTTAACTTTCCTCAAAACTGAGTCATTTACATGATGGGATAGAAACTATTGATCTCTTTCCTTCTCTAATAACTAAGAACGTCTTGAAGATCATGACATGGAAAATTAGAGATACATTTAATATGCTAAGCATAGAAGGTAGTACTGTCCAGTAGACACATTGTTTTATGATTTGTTAGATCTTTGAGCTCCAGGCCCAGTTACAAATGATGTTGTCAATCGTGAAATATCTCAGATCATCATTTTTATTCTTGGCCTCTCACTCTTTATATCTTAGTGAAGACAAAGTAAGAAGGCGTATATAAATGAACTTTGTAAGCTCTGCACACTATAAAAATGTAAAGGATATATAAAATTTAAATATTCACATTTGCTAAATCAAATTATTAAAGTCAAGCAATCAAAATGCCACAGCTACTCATCAAAGAGGCATTGAAAAGTGCTTCCCTCTTCTCCACATCACCTTCAGTATAGGTATATTTTATTATTTTTTAGAAAGGTATGAAATTAAATACATTTTTTTCATAAAATCTGAGGGGAATTTGCTGTATAGTCCAGTGAGATGTAAAATAGAGGGATGGTATGGGAAATATGACAAGTGCCTGGTGGAACTTGATCATATTATAAACCTTGGCCTTACCCTATCATTAAACCCTGATTATTGAGCAAGCATTTAACAAATATTTATTAAACCTCTCCAATGAAAGCACAGGAACTGTGAGATGCTGGAGATACCATGAGACACTAGGAGAGACGTGACCACTGGCCTTTTGCAATTTACACTGAACGATCAAATATTACCTGAGATTATTAGAAGAAAAAACAAGAGTAAGCTGAAGCTGCGGTGAATTTATTTGAATTCTATGATTACATATTAGAAGACAAGTATTCCAAAATATTAGTAATTACTGCTGTTCCTTTGACCTCTTACTTTACAACAGTTGCCGTACTGGGTCATGTTTGACTAGATTCACAGTTCAGGGAACAGCATGGATGGCTATGGCTCTACATTTTATATTTTATAAAACTTGAGGGAGAAGTGATCAAAGGAATAACTCGCAAGTCATTCTTCATCAGGAAATACTTTATTGTATATATTCATTATCTGGGCTAGGCTGCCTTCAATTATAAAAACGTTGTGTTAAAAATAACTAGACCTCTTGAAGAGAGGCCATGCCATATTAGAATGCAGGCGCTCTCCCTGTTTTGACAAGTCTTTCCATCAGCAACCTGCCAAATCTGGATCTGGACATACTGCCAGATACCATCACAGTAATAGGAGTGTCTTCATGTTTTTCCTAGTTTTCTGCATTAAAATGGAAAAAAAAATGCTAAGCAAAGTCCCTTTAGAACTCATTGTTTTTGGGGTTACTGGCTGCTTTTTATTTTTTTGTTTCCTTTTTTTTTTTTTAATTTGCTTTTTTTTTTTTCTGTTTTCCATGATAAAAAGTACCTCATTCATTTCCCCCTGGAAGGGCAATGTAGCTACAAGGGAACATCTGTGAGGCCAATTAGCGGGGCTGGAAATGTGATATAATTGTTGTTTAAATATATTTAAATTACATGTTAATCACTATGTCATAATTTATAGGCTTTGAAAATAACTTTTTGTACTTGAGAGCCAAGCCAGATTTTACTTGTTTTTGCTGTTTTTAGTTTGTAACAAGCTCTTCTCATTCCCCGCCCCGCTCCCTCCCCGCCGCCCCAATTTCCCACACTTGAAGAGCTGAACTTTTAATATCAGAAAGAATGACAGCTGCAAGTAAATTGGTTGAGTAAAAATTAAGATCCCCACAGTCAGAACACGCTGGAGTGACCTTAAAGTTCTGAGCAGAACAAAGCAGTGCTCTCAGTTAAAAGGCTTTTGTTTTTTTCATTGTGCCATTTTCTGCTGTCCATCAAAGCCCAGCTTTGCGGATCTTCGGGAAGTACTGGGTGCATCTGTTCAATTAGCTGGGGAGGGGATTTATGGTCAGCAGGGCAGAGATAGAAAGAGGTGGGTTATAAACTGGCAGGTGATAGGGAATTTGTTTCTGGTGGGGGGATTTGTAAGGGTGATGGAGAGAGTCAAGTTTAATTTTGTGGTCCTTTCACTGGGACATTGTATGATTAACTTAGACTCAAATGCCAGAGGTTATAGAGAAGGCAAATATCAGCAAATATATCAAATATGGTGTTAAATGCACTTTACATACATCATGTTCCGAAATTTGCATTTCAGTTGAATGATAAAAATATGAAGCTGTCTTATTATATGCACTGTATTTCTCATATCTATTGTTTTAATTAAAACATTATATTGTTTAATATTGCTCCTGGGAAATTTTAAATTGTTAACCAGATGGGCTTTGTCTTTTAATATTTTTTTTAATATCAGACAAATCTATGTTCTTAGGAAACAAAAATACATACTTAATGCCTAACCTCTATCTAAATTAAACATGCACTTAATGAGAGAGAGGTTTTTTATCTTCAGATAATTGTTCCTATCAATATTACCTATAGGTAGAGTATTTCTTGTATCATGTACCTACCATATGTCAGAGACTATCTTAGGTTTTATTTATTCTTATAACCTTTCAAGGTATGTATCATCACTAAAAATCATGACTT